AAAAAAAAAAAAGAGCCACATACCATTAGCAGCTTCCATAATGGACAGCACAGCTCCAGACCCTAGGAGATTTAGACGGGACCCTGGCTGCCCCCAGTCCATTTCCCCAGCACTGTGAGTGGCAACATCATGACTGAGTTGGTGTCTTAACATCTTGCCTCCCCGCAAGACAAGGAAGCATAAGGAACGCAAGGAAGCTCCTTTGTTTACACTACTGTCACTCAACAAATCCTCTACCAACACTTGTTGACTAGGTACCTGCTCGTGCCAAGTGCTTCGCCTGCAGGATGTAAATGAGTCTTCTCGACAGTGCTGTGTGGTAGATCGCATTAATAGTCTCCCTTTATCATGAAAGAAATAGAGACTCAACAAAGCTGACCAACTTTTAAGTCACACAGCTGGTATACATTTGGGCCAGATATGGAGCCCAGGTATCTCTGCTCCAAATGTCCTTACTCTCTTCTGCAATGTGCTCAGAGGCCAGTTTAGGATGGATCTCCATGACAACTGCAGACCTGATGACTCCAAAGGTGTTTTTCTTACCCTCTGTCTTAGTAGACATGGATTCAAATGCTAACTTGTTTTTTTGGGACTTGGAAACAATACAGGCAGTCAATAAAGGGTGCGTAATTCTACTGATCATACTAGTTCCCACAGTGTGACTGAGGCTTAATTCTGCTGGGGGACTGTGAGACCCTGCATGGAACACCATGGGATTATTCTACCCCAGAGGTGAGGGAGCTGGGGTATTTATCCACCAACTCTCATGGGTCTTTGGTTGAGAGCCATGGGGGTGTGGGTGGCACTTCTGACCTGCCATGATGGTAGAAATAGTAGATTCTATGCCCAGAGAACGTCATCAGGCAAAGAAGCAGCAGTTGGCAGCAAAGCCAGAATGTTGTAGAAAGTTGCCCACACTTGCAAAGATCCTGGGGTCATTGTAAGCCCTGTCTCATCAGAAGATAAAGGCTGAGCTTTTCTTCTCTCGGTTCCAAGGTTCTGTGTCACCCTTTGAGATCCTGGGGTTGCCTTTTAAGGGATTTAACCATTAGCAGAGCAGATGGGTGCTTTGCTGATGATCTTTGAAAATTGGAATCTATTTGCAGTTCAGAAAGGAAGGCTGGGAATCTTTGCATATGTATAAAGAAGGTGTTTTCTAAGAATCTTAATGGTGTAAATAAGGTTTAAGAGCATGTTTAAACCTACTTTGCAAGCCTTCCCAAGGTCTTTAGAAATGCTTCTGTAGTTAGTTGCCCAGTTGTCCAACTCTTTTCTACCCTATGGACAGGAGCCCACCAGGCTTCTCTGTCCATGAAATTCTCCAGGCAAGAATACTGGAGTGGGTTGCCATGCTCTTCTTAGGGGATCTTCCCAACCCAGGGATCGAACCCAGGTCTCCTGCACTGCAGGCAGACTCTTTACCATTTGAGCTACCCAGGAAACCCTTTAGAAATGCCTGTCAGCATACAAACAACTCATGGATTACAAATTATCCTTCTGTTTCATTAAAGCATGCCTCCTAACCACTGATCACAGGCAACCCTTGGCTTAGTTTGAATAACTATAAGCACTTAAAAAAAGTGTGGGTTTTGTGTATAGTCAGTAATATAGGTTTGGTTCTAAAGCCAGCATGACCTCCTCATTCTGAATTCACATTGGAACATAACTCCTTTTGGCCAGATCATCTTCACGGTTTGTTTAATCATTGATATTTAGTTTTCTTCTTAGGTTATAATAGAGTCAGAAGCTATAGTGAAGGCTCACTAGACGTTCCATCTTCTTCCTTCTTGCTGTTCTCTGTTTGGAAGTTAACATTTATTTAGCCTCTGTTAGGTGCTTGACTCTGGATTAGCCCCTTTCATCCTTGCTGCAGCCCTGCAAGGGAGCATTCACACTGCCATTTTGCCTTGAGGTCAAACTCCTTTCCTTTCTGGGGAAATGAGTGGGAAGTAAGTGAGACAGAGAAGGACAAGTATCATGTGATATTGCTTATATGTGGAATCTAAAAAAAAGGTACTGATGAACTTACCAACAAAACAGAAACAGAGTTACACGTGTCGAAAACACACTGATGGTTATCAGGGGATAAGGGGTGGAGGAGGGATATGTTGGGAGATGGCGGTTGACATATACGCAGTACTATATGTAGAGTGGATAACTAATAAGAACCTACTCTGGGCTCCCCTGGTGGCTCAGATGGTAAAGAATCTGCCTGCAATGTGGGAGGCTTGGTTTTGATCCCTGGGTCAGGTAGATCCTCTGGAGAAGGGAATGCCTACCCACTCCAGTATTCTTGCCTGGAGATTCCATAGACGGAGGAGCCTGGCGGGCTACAGTCCCTGGGCTCACAGAGAGTTGAACACAGCTAAGTGACTAACAAGGAAGGAAGAACCTTAGTAGCACGGGGAGCTCTACTTCTGTACTTTGTAAAGGCCTCTGTGGGAAAAGAATCCAAAAATGTGTGGATGTGTGTATATGTGTAACCGGTTCACTTGGCTGTACATCTGAAATTGACACAACATTGTAAATCAGCTGTACTCCAATAAAAATGAAAAGAAATTATTTATGTAAAAAAAAAAAAAAGATTTCAGGGAATGTCCGCTGGGTGAAGTGTGCCTGGTAACTGGGAGTTAGGCCAGTGGTTCTCAACACTGAGTCTCCTGGGCAGTTTTTGAAAATTACTGATGTCCAGGCTGCACCCAGACCAATGAAGTCAGCGTGTCTGGGAGTGGATCCTGGGCAAGCTTTCCAAAGCTCCCCAGGTGGAGACTCAGCTGAGAACCACGCCTGAGCAAGCACAAGTCCACTCTCCCAAAACTGAGTCCTGACGTCCTGTGTCCTGGGAGTGACATGAACACCAGAGCATGTGGACCTCAGTTCGAATCTTGACTCTGCTCCACATGAGCTGTGATTCTGGACGAGGTATCTTATCACTGGGAAACTCTTTTCTGAACTGATGATGATAATATTCATCATAATAGTTTAAAAGACTTGTAGGGTTATTCTGAGGATTTAAAAAATATTTATTTATTTGATTGCATTGGGTCTTAGTTGTGGCATGCAGGATCTTTAGTTGGGGCATGTGGGATGTAGTTCCCCAGCCGGGGATTCTGCTTGGCCCCTTGCATTGGGAGTGGAGTCTAAGCCACTGAGCCAACAGCCGTTTTTCTGTTGCTCAGTTGTGTCCGACTCTTTTTGACCCCATGAACTGCAGCACTCCAGGCTTCCCTGTCATTCACTATCTCCCAGAGTTTGCTCAAACTCATGTCCATTGAGTCATGATGCCATCCAATCACCTCATCCTCTGTCGTCCCCTTCTCCTCCTGCCCTCAATCTTTCCCAGCATCAGGGTCTTTTCCAATGTCAGTCACCTTCGCATTAGGTGGCCAAAGTATTGGAGCTTCAGCTTCGGCATCAGTTCTTCCAATGAATATTCAGGACTGATTTCCTTTAGGATGGACTGGTTTGATCTCCTTGCTGTCCAAGGGACTCTCAGGAGTCTTCTTCAACACCACAATTCTTCTGCGCTCAGCCTTCTTTATAGTCCAACTCTCACAACCGTACATGACTGTTGGAAAAACCAAAGCTTGGACTATATGGGCCTTTGTCAGCAAAGTGATCTCTCTGCTTTTTAATGTCTCTGTCTAGGTTTGTTGTAGCTTTTCTTCCAAGGAGCAAGCATCTTTTAATTTCATGGCTGCAGTTACCATCCTCAGTGATTTTGGAGACCAAGAGAATAAAATCTGCCACTGATTCTTCCCTCCCCACCCCATCTATTTGCCATGAAGTGATGGGACCGGATGCAGAAGTCCCCATTCTGAGGATTTAATGGGACACTAGACACTCATGATGCCTAAGAAGGAGCAACAATGTCACCACCCTCTTCCAGCCTTGCCCATGGTGACCGAGTCCTCACCCCGCCTGGAAGCCTGTGGCTGACCCCGAGTTCCAGTGCTGGCCACCTCTCTGGAGGCCGCCGCCTTGACCGATGCCCTCGACGTGCTCAGCCGTGCCCATCTTCTCCTGAGGAGGATGGTATCGACATTTCAAAACAGTTTAATTATTCTGCGGCTGCCTGGCTATTAGCTGCGACAAGAGAGCTCAGGGCTATTTTTCAGCATTAATTTTCCATTTGAAATGAATTCCTTTTGGTTACACTTTTTAAATGTTTCTTTTAATTAGACGCAATTACTTCAGAAGAATTGCTTTTATTCCTCAGCCTGAGATCCCAGTGATAAAGTCGCTATCTGGCCCCACCGAACGGCCGGGATGGCTCATTTAGCTGCTGCACTAAAGTATATTGAACTAGGAAATTATACAGCGAATCAACTATTAATTCCTTTTATGATCGCTCCCTCTAACATCTTGAATGAGATCTTCAGGGGGAAATTTAGTCACAATAGGGATCATTGTTCTCCACCTCCAGCCGCAGGCCCAGGCTTTGGGGGGGTGGGGGGCAGTTGGTAGCTGGGGGCTGCTGCCCTGGTGCTGGGTCTGACACAGGGGCAGGATGGCACAGGGACTCCTGGCTGTCCTGGGGCTTGGGGGGCTGGGAATTCTGCAGCCAGACACCTTGGCCAGGCTGGGGGGTAGGCTCTTAAGCTCCGGGCAGGGGGAGGGGGCTGCGGCTTTGCAAAGGGAGAATGCAGGCAATTGACTCAAGTTGAAGGTCGACGATTCTGGCATTCTTTGGTGGGTCGGTGAACTGGGTGTCACTAGGTGGCGCTCTTGCTTCTGTGTTGGTCATTTCTGCCTGGGCTAAAGGGAGGCCCTGGAAGAGCTTCCGCAGCCAGACTCCAAAGTAGCCTTTCTTTAGACGCTTCAGTCCCATCCACTCTTAGCAGATGAGGCACAGAAGAATGCCCAGCCACAGACAGAGGCTGAACCCGATCACTTGAGCTCACTCAGGTCTCTGAACAGGGCCCCTGGGATTTTCTTGGCTTGGAAAGCCACCCCTCCAATACGGCTGGCTGACGGCTTCTCCTCCAGGGGTTTTGTAGGTGAAGTTCATAGTTGTACTCATCGAGGGCTGCTTTGCCATCGTGCACCAGAGATGCTGGATTCCCAGAGCACCGGATCGGGAAGGGGTGGGCAGGACCTGGGCACGTTCCTCGGCACTGGAAACCGCAGGGCTCCAGGAGAGGGGCACTGACCTCAGGAGTGTCTTTGCTGCCTCTACAAACCCTCCTGTTGGACCAGCCGTTCTAAACCAGACGTTGGAGGGATGTGACCAAGGAAACATGGCCCTGACCTATTGGAAACATTTACTCAAAATCACATCATGGGACTTCCCCTGGTGGTCCAGTGGTAAAGAATCCTCCTGCCGATGCAGGGGACACAGGTTGGACCCCTTCTGGGAAGATTCCGCATGCCTGGGGGCAACCCAGCTCGTGCACCCTAGAGCTTGTGCTCTACGATAAGAGAAGCCACAGTGATTAGAACCCCGTGCACCGCAGTGAAGAGTATCCCTCTCTCGCCGCAGCTAGGGAAAGCCTGCACACAGCAATAAAGACTCAGCCCAGCTTAAAATCACAGCATGATGAATGTGTGGAATTTCTTTTAGAGGAGCTGGGCTTTGAAGGATGGCTAGGAGTTTGCAGAGGAAAGGTCTTCTGGGTAGAGGGCATTGGCGTGGAGGGGCGAGAGCAGGAAGGTGGGGGTAGTGTGGGGAGCGGCAGGAGGTTTACATACAAATGCCTGCCTAGGCCTTGGGTGCCATGCCTGAGAGTGTGGACTTGGTCCCGAGGGCAGTGGGGAGCCATGGAAGATTCTCAGCACAGAGGAGAGACCTAGTCAGATTTGTGATTTTTGACAGGTTGTGTGGGCTTCTCTGTGGAGGATTTGAGACAATCAGCTGGGAAACCTTCTGGGAGCCTCACTCCACCATCCAGGGGAGAGGCAAACACGGCCTGAATTAGGACAGGGTCAGACGGTCAAAAAGGCAGGCACAGGTGGGGCTTTGAGCAAGACTGCCTCATAACTTCGATGGACCCTGAACACTTCTGCCTTTTTGGTCTCCTCCTAAGAGAATAGATTTTTGGGTGGGTTCCTAAAAATTTCATTTGTTTCTGATGGAGGAAAAGTAAAACATTTTGGTCTACTCTTTTTTTTTTTAACTTTTTATTTTGTATTGGGGTATAGCTGATTAACAATGTGAACAACAAAGGGACTTAGTCATGCATATATATACATGTATCCACTCTCCTGCAAACCCTGCTCCCATTCAGGCTGAATTTTGATCTACTCTTTTTTTTTGGCTGTGCCGTGTGGCCTGCAGGATCTTAGTCCCCTGACCAGGGATCGAACCCATGCCCTCTGCACTGGAAGTGCAGAATCTCAACCACTGGACCTTCAGGGAAGTCCCTGGTCTCTTAAAATTAATTTTCTATTCTGATTAAAAAAAATGTAAACTATTGTATATACATACAATGGATACTAGAGAGAAGGAAATTCTGCAGTGTGCAACAAAGTGGAAAAACTTTGGGGTCATTTTGCCCAGTGAAATAAACCAGTGACAGGAAGACAAGTAGTAAATGATTCCTCTTATAGGAGGTAACTAAAATGATCAAATTCATGGAATCAGTGGTTGCCAGGGGCTGGGGGCAAGGGGGAAATGAGGAGTTACTCATCAACAGCCATAAAGTTTCAGGTGAGCACACCGTAAATTTACACAACGTTGTATGTCCAGTGTAATTCAATAAAAAAAGTTTCAGTTAAGTAAGATGAATAAGGTCTAGAGATCTGTTGTATGACGTTATACCGATAGTGGACAGTAATGTATGGTGCACTCAAAGATGTGCAGAGGGTAAATCAAATGATGGTGTTGGGTGTTCTTACTACAGCAAAAGACAAAAAGATATTAAAATATTGTTGGGTGTAAAATATCATTAGTCTCAGGCATGTGCTTCTGAGCCTGATGGTGAGGTCAGTACTGGTTTTGAGAGAGAGCAGATAGGATTGGGAACTTGGGTCTCCTGCTCTGTAGTTGAGGGAGAATATGGGACCCTTCCCCTCCCCTAATTCCTTCAGTCACCCCCACCCCCCCGCCCCACCTCGGTACCCTGGAGGATGAAAGTGATGACAATGATGAACATTTACTGAGCACTTACTATGTCCAAAGCATTTTATGGGCTTTTTCATTTACTGCTCCTTAAGATCCCCTGGAATCTTGGAAGAGAGAATGGCTACCTACTCCAGTATCCTTGCCTGGAGAATTCCATGGACTGAGGAGCCTGGCGGGCTCTAGTCCACAGGGATGCAAAGAGTCGGACACGACCAAATGACTAATACACACACACACACACACACACACACGATTCTTTGAAGGGCTTCCCAGGTTGCGCCAGTGGTAAAAAACCTGCCAATTTAGGAGACATCAGAGATGTGTGTTCAACCCCTGGGTAGGGAAGATCCTCTGGAGGAAGGCATGACAACCCATTTCAGTATTCTTGCCTGGGAAATTTCATGGGCAGAGTAGCCTGGCGGGCTACAGTCCAGGGGATTGCGGAAGAGTTGGAGGCAAGTGAAGTGACAGAGCACGCACGCACGCGCAAGGCTTCCCGCATGGCTCCGCGGGAAAGAATCCGCCTGCAATGCAGGAGCCACAAGAGCCACAGCCTCCATCCCTGGGTTGGGAAGATCCCCTGGAGGAGGGCCCGGCAACCCACTCCAGTATCCTTGCCCGGAGAATCCTCTGGACAGAGGAGCCTGGCAGGCTACAGTCCATGGGCTCGCAGAGTCGGACATGCCTGAAGTGACTGAGCACTCAGGCAAGGGTTGTCCTGAAGTTTAAACAAGATCATTAATGTAAATTGTAGTTCTTGGCACATAGTAAGGTCTGATGAGTAGAAGCTAATTATTTTTATTTTTAGGAAAAAAAAAATAGAGACAAATGATCAGAGTGATCAGGAACCCGAGGAATCCTGTTCCCCAAGATGTGCCACATTTACACATGGAAAACAAGAGTAGCTAATATAAATTCATCTCGTTGAAACAAAGTATTGTATCAGCACTGTTGGCTGATCATGCTCTGAAAAACCTCTGGGGCGAGAAACCCTGGGTGGCAGCATTTCAGATAGGATCTCAGTGCTGCCTACACATCCGTATCACCTGAAGGAATTAAAAAAAAATTACTGATGTTTGGGCCCTGCCCATAGAGATTCTGTTTTAATGTGTCTGGAGTGGGGCCTGGGCATTGTACCTAAAAACTCCCCTGCTGATTCTAATGGGCTGAGAACCACTGCCCTGTGTAGTCATAGATCTGTTTAATGTCTGTCTGTCCCAAAGGTCTGGAGGCTTCCCCACAGCAGGGACTGTAAATATTTGTTGAATCGGAAATGGATGAATGAAGGAGGCTGTTGTAGGCAAGCCTTCTCTGAGGCACTGGCAAGGAACAACTGCCTGGCCTGCCTTAGACCCTGACTGATGTGAGCTGGCCTCCCTGGTGGAGGAGCATGCATAGTTAGCTGGTAGAAAATCAGTCAGCCCAGGCTATAAACGTGGGTCGAGGGCACAGTGCTGGAGAGGGCCCTTGAATGCCGGGTAAGGAGTCTGGGCTTCATCCGCTGGTTACCTCTCCTGGAATCAGCACTTGGTTCCTGCCTCTCCTCTCACGGTGCTCAGCTTCAGGGTGGAGAAGTCTCAGGGGCAGATTCTCCTACTGATGCCTGCCCTGTAGTCCATGGAAGCCAGAGCCCAAGAGGAAATTCCTGTGCTCCACCCAGACGCTCAAGAACATATGGGCCTTGGAAATCATCATCAGAGGAAGCCATCTTCTTCATTAATTGATTAATGTAATTAAAGAAAGATAAGTACGTCGATACCGACCACATTAGAGTTAATTTGTACAGGCAATTAGCTGTGCTCCCTCCTTCATGCTAACTGCCTTAGACGTGTGCTTGTGCCCTGGGGGGCATTAGTGGGTGCTGGGTTTAAACCTGGCCCCTGTGGGCTTTCTCCTGGGCACCTCAGTGTCCAAAAGGAGCACTTGAGCCCCCAGATGTGGGTTGGCTACAAGCTCGGTGACCCTGGGAGATGTCTCCTTTCTTCTGTGGCCCTTGGTCCTCTTGTCTGTCTAATGGGGATAATTACACTGATCTCAACGTGGAAATGTGTGTGCCAGGTCCGGGGGAGAGACGAATGCCCTCTTCCTTCCTGTGTCCTTCCAAAGACATCTCCTTTTCCAGGCCAGGGGGCCAGCCCAGGACATAGCTCTGCTCTGGATCCTAAGCTTAAGATGCTCCTGTAAGGTCTCTGGGAACCTTGTGGGTCTGGTTCTCAGCCCACTTTCCCCCTTCCTGACCCTGTCTCCATCCTCACTTGCCCTGGGGGCCGCCTCTCAGGTTTTCTGCTTCTTTCTCCCTCTGGGCTCAGGCACACATCCCTTAGGGAGACCTTGTGTTTCTCTCTCCAACCTCCTGCCACTCTCTCTCCCTTTTTCTCTCTCGTATTCCCACATGAGGATATGGCACCTCCATCCCTCAGGGACTCAAGCTGGGAACTTGGGGTGGGGGGTCACACTTGATGTTTCTTTCCCTCTCCCCTGCACCCCCAATCCATTCACAAGTCCTGTTAATTCTTTTTTTTTTTTTTACAATTTTGTTGAGGTTTACTTGATATGCAATTAACTGCTCATGTTTAAAGTATATAATTTGAAAAGATTTCACATACGTGTGCATCTGGAGAACTAACATTACACTCAAGATAATGAACATATCTGTGACTCCCCAAAGTTTCCTCATGTCCCTTGGCAATCCTCCTTCCTGCTTTCCTAAATCTCTCCTCCCTCCCATCCCCAGGCAATCGCTGATCTGCTTTCTGTCCCTGAAGGTTCCTTTGCTTTTCTAGAATTTTATACAATCATTTCATAATCATACGGTATGCATTTTTTTCTGACTTCTTTCACTCAGCATAGCTATTTTGAAATTCACCCTTGTTGTTGCATGTGTTAATAGTTCATTTCTTTTTATCATTCAGTGGACTAGTCCACTGAATACCATGAATGTGCCATGAATTTTGTTTATGTTTCTACCTGTTGATGGACATATGGTTGATTTCCAGCTTTTGGCTATTAGTGCTAATGCTGTTATGTACATTCCTGTGCATGTGTTTGCATGGGCATATGCTTTTGTTTCTCTTGGGTAAACACCTAGG